AGTCCACTTTGTAATGTCAACATTAGTGAGAAATAGAGGTTGCTAAAAGTTAACAATTTCCTTTTCACTTGCATTCATATTTTTTACTGCTTGTAATTCATAATAGTCCCACATAGGGCACTTGATTTCTTAAATGTGTGGATGATATTAATCGTTGTAATACCATGTGACCGTGCAAGGAAAATGCTAATCAAATTAGATGTAAGAGTCGACAATTCAGAAAAACATGCAATCATGCACACATATCACTCAACTGCTAGTCCTTTTTCTTTCTTTCTTTTTTTCCTTTCCTTTTCTTTTCTTTTCTTTTTTCCCCCTTTAACATATCACTTGTTGATAGTTACATAGTAGTTCCATGCCCTTTTGTTGCTATTTAAAAGATGCATCCTGAAGTTTCTATATGTGCAAAGATTCGTTGCTCATGCACTATGTTAAATATATCATTTAGTTCATTGCCTAACAAGATTACCTGGTTCATTATCCTTTTATATATGACCTTCATAAATGTACTAGTGAAAGTTTCTGGTCTGCAATATCTTATATTTATTTGATTACTGTATTCTGTGTCTTTGTTCTATAGGAGACCAAAAACTATGGAAGAGATCTTAACAATAGATATAAAACCCGGATGGAAGAAGGGCACAAAGATCACATTTCCAGAAAAAGGCAATGAGCAACACAACCTAATACCTGCAGATCTTGTCTTCATTATCGATGAGAGGCCACATGGTATCTTCAAGAGAGAAGGCAATGATTTATTCTACACAACAATTATCTCCCCTCGCATTGCAATGCTTGAAATGAATAATTGTCAGTTCAACAATTATGTGGAATCTCGTGAGGGGTTTGATGTTTGGTTAATGTGTTTGTTATGATCCCTATCCCATCAAAATTATGTCTGTATTTTTCCTTTGATTGGGGTTATTGTGGCATTTTAAGGCGAATTGTGATGTTTATTCATAAGACAGATTTGCACATTCGAAAAAATTATGCTCTATTTAAATTTCTTTTTGATGTAGCATAAGTGGCTTCTTGTGGCATTGGTTATCGTAATAAACAATGTATATCATTTTGCAGGTGATGTATTCTTTGAGTTCTTTGCGCTTGGCATAGTAAAAAGAAAAAAAAATACATGATTGGTAATATTAATGTTATCTTGTTCAATATGTTCATGCTATTCCTGAATGGGTTATGTACATGCCTGTGCATATTTTGATAATTCAAAAAGTTTACAAAAAACCCCCTAAATTTTGCAAAAAGGCCCCAATAGTTTACAAAAAAACTCCTAAAAGTTTACAAAAAACACCCTAAAAGTATTATACATATATAGCTACTATAGTTAAATGGGCAAATGGACGGTCCGTTTATTAAATGGGCGGGTAATAACCCGCCCATTTAGAAAATGTTAAATGGATCATAAATGGGGAAATGGGCAAAATATGCCCGCCCATTTATGACCCGCCCATTTAATATTCAAATCCACCCATTTGAGTTGAATCCTATAGTTCTCGACAAATATGTGTCCTCTGAGATTGATAAATTCGGTTGCAGAATTAGGTGGCCCTTTCAATTCATATATACCCAAAACTTTGGGATGAGCTGTTCAGAAATCTAATGCAGTTTGGCATGTTGATGAACCCGGTTATTCTCCCAAAAGTGTATGGCATTGTTTTGAATATATTACCATTTGAGAATAACACTGAAACTTTAGCTAGACGCATTGTTGAGGCTAGCACAAAGTCAACAAATGTCGAGCTACCAGCAGCAAGAGATTGCAATGGATAATAATTTCTCTATTTATTGAAATTGATTGTTATAAGCAGGTGGATCATAATTTGCTTCCAGAATGCTCTAATTTGTGAGCCAAATTCTTCCATCTTTGTGTATTTTTTGGCAAATAAAAAAATAGAACCGATGAAATATGAAAAAATGGATATTCATTATTTGTTATGATTCTATATTAGTAATTCAAATAAATAACATTTTAGTTATTAATTATCTAAGAAATATATTATTAGTTCCAATAGAATTGATATTCTTTTAATATTACTAAATTATTAATTTCTAACAAAGTCATAAACCATTAACCTAACAAAGGTTATTTATTAATTTAATAATTAAATATTATTATTTTAGTTATCAGTTTATTCATACTAATTTTATCAAATTATTTTTTAATAATATTTAACTATTAGCAGGTTTATTAATTACTATTAGCTCACATGAATATTACTTCAAATTATTGTTTTAATTGTATTCAATCACTCTTGCAAATAAATATTTAATAATTAATTGGTATAAAATGTTCAAACCTAATAATTTTAATTTATGTTTTCATTTAGTTACTTTATTTTTTCAATTTAATAAATTTAAAACTAAAATTGAATAAGAACTATAATAAATTAGTGTCATAGTGCGGGACAAACAAGAACTTATTCCAAAATTATCTTAATGTAAAAGCACTAATTCTTAATATCCTTTATGATATATAAGATTATTTAATACATGTAACAGTTAAAGAAATATTAATTACTAAATACCTAAAACATGTTATAAAATCAGTTTCATATAACTTAGGGAACATTTGTTAATTTGCGTATTGATATGAATATTGAATGAATGCTAAATTCTAAATTAAGCCATCTAAATAAAAGTAATTGTAAGTAACTATTACAAAAACAATTAAACTTTTGTAACTTAACTATCCATTTAAATATATGTATCTTAAATACCCAGCTTTTTTAAGTATTAGGCTATTAATTTAATTTTTAATTTTTAATAAAAATAATAAGTTTGCGAATAAATTAAAAATATTGTTAAAGACTCGGTTTAATATTTAAATGGAGAAATTTTTAAAAAAGCCCTTTTTCAATTTTATTGGGCAAAATCGACCCTCTCATAAAATAATTAGCAAAACCAACCGAAAAGGGTCGGTTTTGCAATTATGGAGCTGCACGGGACTAGTAGTCCCGTGCAGTCCGCCTACCCCACCAGCCCCGCATTTCTTTCGTTCTTTCTTTCGTTCTGTCGTTGCTTTCTCTTCTCGTGACCACTCTCCTGATTCTTCGTCCGAACTCAGATTTGAGTGATTCCGGGTGCGTTGGATGCTCGACGAAGAATTCGATCCGCTCTGGTGGTTGGATTATCTGTAGAGTGGTCGAGGCACGAGGGGCGTTGTCCTTTTTGTGAACAGTGCCGGGTTCCTGATTGGTCCAGGTTTTGGTTGTTCCGAAATCCTGTAAGCTTACGTAGCTCGCCGACTCACTTCAGTCGTTCATCGACGTCAATTGGGCTCCTATGGCTCGGATAGTGATGTTCATCGTCGCTCTTTAACGCTGAACCGTTCGTGGAGACCTATAGGCAATTTTCGATGCCTACATACCCCTAGCCCTCCGACCTCGTCGCGCCGCCGACACCATCGACCCCCACCGAACCCCCATCCTTAGGTGTGTTTTTCTTTTTAATTTTGCTGTTAATTTTTGAGAGAGATATTCATCAAATTTTGTTAGAATTGGGTGAATAATGTGTGATTTGGGAGTTAGGGTTTAGTTTAGCAATTATTTACATATGAGAGGGTTTAGCAATTATTTACATATGAGAGGGTTTAGCAATTATTTTTTAGAGGGATATTCATCAAATTTTGATAGAATTTGGGGAATAATGTTTTGGCTGTTAATTTTGCTAGAATTGGATAGGATTAGATTTTATTTTGTGCAATAGGATGAATAATGTGATTTGGGAGTTAGGGTTTAGTAATTATTTACATATGATGAATAATAATTAGGGTTTAGCCATTATTTGGGATTGATTAAAGTAATAAATTTGATGTTGATTTATTCAGATATTAATAGATTATTTGCATATGATGGACTGTGTATTTTCAGTTTCGATGATGAACTCCATACCCATTATTTGTTTCTTTAATGAGAGCCTCGGCGTCGGAGTGAATAATTTGCCTATGTATGATGGAGGTTCTCGGAAAATGTTCATGCTATCTAAGTCGTGTAATTTTGATGGAATGACTAGGAAAATACACAGAGTTACTAAAATTTAAGAAAGAAAAATATACAATTAGGGTGTTCTTCAACTGTCCGATAAATGAGAGTAGAACTATTGCCGTGGAGATTACCGAAGATGAGGAATTGAATGACATGAAACAATTAGTCGAGAAGCAAGCGTCAATTGAGTTGTTTATTGAGAAGTATCCGATTCAGGAATTTGCCCAAGTTTCACGACCTCAAGGAGAGTTTTCTCGGATGCTTGACTTAGACAACGAGTCGATTGGTTTTATGACATCTCCAAGTCAAGAGCCATGGTCTCAACCATAACATTTAAGTGAGTATTCTATCGGTGGGACGTCAACTAATATATTTAACGACGCTTCAGGTCATGTTACGGGTTACCCACCAGTCGGAGCAATTATAGAAGATGAAGCAGATGATGATTCAGATCATTTTGAAGAAGATGGCGTGCAAATTGATAGCATGCATGTGGCAGCTGGAATCGATGATGACGCCCGTTGGATGGAGCAATTTAACGTTAACAATGATTATGTGGAAGCTGAAGATCCGTTGCCCGACGAGTTTCATAATGAGGATTGGATAAATACTTCTCAAGCTGGATTTGTTGATGTTGGTCCAAATTTACAACGACCCGAGGACTTCACTTTTAAAAAAGGGGATCTATTCGAGAGCAATGAGGCACTGATCTTTACAATTCGAGAATGATCCATCAAGAATCGGGTCAAATTCAAGCCGGTAAAAACTAATGCAACAAACTACAATGTGAAATGCTTCTTTAACGATAAGAATGAAGTAGAGAACGCAAATGAGCAAGATGAGAGAAATAAAAAATGTCCTTGGTTGCTAAATGCCGCCGTGAGAAAATCATCAAATGGGCAATTTGTAATATGTAGATATTGCGGACTTCATACATGTTACAACCCGTCGGTGGATGTCGATGATTATTCCACATCTTCTTCTTATATATGTAAGCTAATTATGCCTGAAGTTAGAGCTGAACTTGATCTGAATGCAGGTCAGATATTTCAGAGGGTATATGACATGCGGGGGATTAAGATATCTAAATATAAGGCATATGATGCAAGGCGGAAAGCGTTGTCTAAAATTTTTGGAGATTGGGAAAAATCATATGAATTACTTCCACAGTATCTTGAAGCTATCAAACAAAATAATCCGGGTACTGAATACGAAATATTATCTGAAGAGATTGCACCGGGTATGGAGAGGTTCACTCGCGTGTTTTGGGCATTTGGTCCTGCTATTAAGGGCTTTACTTTTTGTCGTCCGCTATTGAGTATTGATGGTACACATTTATATGGAAAGTACAAAGGCGTGCTTCTTGTAGCTACCGGTGTAGATGCAAATGACGGGTTATTTCCTCTAGCATTTGCAGTCATGGAGGTGGAGGATACGTCTAGTTGGAAGTGGTTTTTTAAACTTATATACAAGTGGATTCCAAGTGTCCGTGCGCCAAGAATAATTACCTTTATTTCGGATAGGATGAAAGGAATTATAAGAGCGTTACATGAGGGTTTTAGTGCACCACATCACCATCGATATTGTTTAAGGCATATAAGAGATAATTTCAAGAAAAAACATGATGATATTAATTTGCAAAATCTTTTGTGGCAAGCCGGGTGTGCAACCGACACATTAGTGTATGACCATTGCAGGGAGAAAATCAAGTCTTTGTCATTAGATGCACATAATTGGATTGAAAATAACTTGAAGCCCCAATTCGAGCATCGGTGGGCATTATGTAAGGATGAGGGTGTGCGGTTTTGTATGATGACGACTAATTGCTCCGAGAGCTTTAACTGCGTTCTTAAAGGAGCACGAGCTATGCCAATACAATCTTTGGTTGCAAGAACATTCTATAAACTAAACGCATACTTCAACAAAAGGCGTGGTGATGGCATAGACTGGACAACACGTTACACACCAAAAAATGAGTCCATTTTGCATAGAAGAATTGAGGCAGCAAGATCATGTCAAATTACCGTATTCAACGACAACGAATGGCAGGTACAGGATTGTGACGGTATCTACACCGTTAAACTATTTGATGTTGATTGCACTTGCACATGTAACATACCACAACTCCAAAAAATACCTTGTGCACATGTGCTTGCGGCTTCTTCTAATCAGCCGGGAGGTGCTAGAATTCCCAGAAATCGGTATTGCGCGCCTTGGTATTCAACAGCTCACTATCAAAAGATATATAGTAAGAGTTTTCATCCACCTGATGATAGTCGGTATTGGCCTGAATATAATGGACCACGTATAATTCCACCTTAGTACCGGAGACAAGCAGGTCGACCACGATCTGTGCGAATTAGGGGAACCATGGATCAAGGGCGAGAAGAAGTGGTCAAGCATAAAAAATGTAGTCTTTGTAAACAACCGGGACATACTCGACCTCGTTGTCCATTTAGACACAATAGATAGCAACTAATTGGTAATTTATATCATTTTTTATTTTTATATACTTTAATAAAGAAACTGAATTACTATATGATTGATTATTGACATGTGTATAATTGTATGTGCAGGTTTGTACACCATGGATCCTGGGCCGGTTAGTGATGAGGTCTTACATGACCAGGCTCAGCATCGTTCACATATTATATCCTGTACAAAGGTAATTCAGTTACTTTATAATTGTAATATTTGCATTTACATAATATTACATTCTTATACTATCATTTTCTGTACAGACAGGAGGGAGTATCGTTATGGTTGATCATAGCCTCAGCCATAGCCGTTGGCGGTTAGAGGATGAGCGTATCATATCAGCTGTAGGACGGGCCGGCTTCTTGACTTGTTCAAAGCTTCATTGGATAAAGCTCGATTGGCCCCTACTAACCGCGTTGATGGATAGATGGAGACCTGAGACCAATACTTTCCACTTCCGGATGGGCGAGGCTACCATTACTCTACAAGATGTAGCTGTGATACTCGGTCTCCGTATAGATGGTCCGTGCATTACCGGCACTGATAGTGATGTATGGCCTCGAAGATGTGAGGAGTTGTTAGGTGTAGCTCCAGAGCCTATGCCTCGAGGAAATATTAAGTTGAAGTGGTTGAGAGAGACCTTCTCAGTACCGTTGCCTGTTGATGCCCCACAAATTTTGGTTGACCAACATGCACGTGCATACATTATGCACATGATTGGTACTATATTATTTCCAGATTCAAGTAAAGATAAAGTGCATGCGAGGTATGTGTATTTATAATATGAATCTGTATTTCATTTAATTAGCTTATTTTTAATAAATTGGAATATTGTGAATATGCTAGGTGGTTACCACTCCTCAAGGACTTGGACGCATGTGGTACAAAATCGTGGGGTAGTGCCGTTTTGGCGTATTTATATAGAGAGATGTCAAAAGTGGCACTTATGCAAAATAGTGAGCTTAAAGGGTGTCTAAGCTTATTGCAAGTATGGGCATGGGAGAGACTTCATTTGAAGCCGAGTCTATGCACGCATTTACAATTAGATGGACAAATTCCACTGGGATGCAGGTATTGTATTTTTTATGTAGCGAATATAACTGTAGTTATCATTGTAGTACTAAATGTATGACAAACATTTTTTGTAGATGGAATGTCGAAAAATGCTATGACGAGACCCCGACTAGACAATTGGATTTCTACCGGAATGAGCTTGACCGTATGAAGATTTTTTAGGTAATTCTCACCGAAAACATGCGCTTTTTCTTCTACATACTGAAAACCCAATTCTGATATGCAACTGCATTAAATTATTATAGATGGAATGGGAGCCCTACACCCAATTTCTAGCTCAGCTACCCCTAATATGCACAGAATACCAAGTTGTATGGAGAGCTAGAGTTCCTCCTATATGTTTGGAGATAGTAGAAATACATGTACCGGCCCGCGTGCTTCGACAATATGATCGTGCACAACATGTTCCGCAATTTGTTGAAAAGATAGAGAGGAAGGCAAAGAAAGGAGGCCAACAAATAAACTGGATGATCGTGCATCAAGCTTTTATACACAGATGGAATGATAGGCATTTTTGTATTGTCAACCAAATTGAACCAACTCCACGGGAATCAGATTACTACACTTGGTATTGGGACATAACCCGAAGATGGATACTTCATTCGACCACAATACCGGTTGAGTCGCAAAGAGGATATGTGCCCCGGGGTATAGATGAGAGAGAATTAGTAAGTATTTTCATATTTTGATCTAAGTCCATTTTTATTGGTACTAAATGTGTTGAAAAATTTGCAGGTATCAGCAATAGATGAAGTTCAAACTCTTGCAAATCGTGGTTTGGAATTGGCTCGAGCAGGTACGATAAAATTAAATCTCAAATTTACATTCTGTAATATCGAATTTAATATGAAATTTTGTTTTTGAACTTTCTATCGTAGGTAGAAATCCCGAAGCACATGAACATGTATCAATATATCAGGCTATAATGCAGAGGCTTCAACAAGCCTTACACCGAACTCACGAAGATCGTCATGATGGACGGGAGGTATTGCCATTCGTATATACACGACAACAGCGACATAGTTGAGGACGATGCAGAAATGACGATGAAGCTGGACCTTCCCAACGTGTCGACGATGGAGCTGGACCGTCACAACCACAAACGCAACCGGATCACGAACTCGTCGAAGGGCGGTATGGAGGACGACGAAGACAAAGGAGGAGGAGGAGAGTTCTTGGATGTATGTAAACTACAGGTTATATACATTACAAAACTATTTAGGGATGTGATTTTTGGATTTGTAGTCGATAATATCATGTGATATGTTTGATTTCTAAGTGAGTTTGTGATGTTTTTATGTTGGATTTGTTAGTGGGAGTTTGTGGTGTTATTATGTTGGATTTGTTAGTGGGAGTTTGTGGTGTTATTATGTTGGATTTGTTAGTGGGAGTTTGTGGTGTGATGTGATTTGTTTGATTTGAAATGAGTATGTGGTGAAATCAGTATGTAATTTGTTAGTGGGAGTTTGTGTGGATGTATGCACAGGGACTACATGAAATGCAGTGGTGAAATGAGTATGTGACTTGTTAGAGGAAGTTTGTGTTGATGTATGCACAGGAAATACTTAAAATGCAGCCAAAAAGTGCACAAAAATGTGCACAGCAAGTGCACGGGACTAGCAGTCCCGTGCACTTCGTTTCTCAACAAAATGCACGGGACTGCTAGTCCCGTGCACTTTGTAAAACACCCTCCGCTGCAAAACCGACCCTTTTCTTTTAAAAATGGTCGGTTTTGCTAATATTTTTTAGTATAGGTCGATTTTGCCCATTAAATTTTAAAAATGGTTGGTTTTAAAAATTTCCCCTATTTAAATTTAGATCATTTTATATGGAACTAGTACTCCATGTGCACGCAATGCGAGCATGACACTATACATATTTGTGCAAAAAAATTTATTAGCAAAAGCTTAATAATGGACGATAGTTAGTAATTCGTTCAAGATATCAAATTTGTTAAAGTAGTTAAAATTATCAAGAAACTATGATAGAACTCTGAAACATGGAGCATAGACTTAATTGAAAAGGCTAAATATCCATATTGGTATTTTAATTCCACCTCGTTTACCAAGAACGTATTTTAATTAGGCAAACCTGCTTTAAGGCATTTTAATTGATTCAACTTACCAACAAGGCCACTTTTTTTGTCGGCGACCAGTTTACGGCGAGATCTCGTTACGTACGTGGCACGTGATGACTTAAACTGTTTTTCAGCTGCTAATGTGGCACGGGTTTTCTGACGTGGCAGTGTTTAAAGGCGGGAATTAACCCTCTAAAAATCCCAATTCACCCAAAATAGGACAGATCTGTGCCACATCAGCAGCTAAAAAACAGTTTAATTCATCACGTGCGACGCACGTGACGAGCTCTCGCCGGAAAGCTGGTCCCCGACGAGAAAAATAGCCTTGTTGGTGAGTTGAATCAATTAAAATGGCTTAAAGTAGGTTTGTCTAATTAAAATACATTCTTGATAAATGAGGTGGAATTAAAATACCAATATTGGTATTTAGCCTAATTGAAAAGCATTATTAAAGACAAAAATAGAGGCAGTGCATTGAATGTACATCAGTCAATCGAAAAGAAATCTTAAGATCCGATAGTAAAGAAGAACGAACCTGAGGTGAGGAGAGTCGGAGCTCACTTGAGACAACGAGCTCGCCTGTGTGAAAGGGGTTCGAGCTCACCTACAGGCGGACTGTGCGTGGACCTCACTTAAAGTAGAGGACCTCGCCTGCTGGAGTGAAAGAAGTTGCCTGACAAAGGAGCTCAAGCTCGCCTATCGTGGAGAGAGCTCGCCTGGAGAGACGAGGCGAGGGGAGGGAGCTCACCTGCGGGCGAGCCTATCGTGGAGAGAGCTCGCCTGGAGAGACGAGGCGAGGGGAGGGAGCTCACCTGCGGGCGAGGGTGAGCTCGCCTGAAGCATTCGTGGACCTCGCCTGCACGAGAGCGGAGAGCGGATGGACCTCGCCTGTTGCATGGTGGAAGCCAGCTGAACCCAGCTGGAGATCACCCTAAGGGTTTCCGTATAAAAGGAAAACCCTGTTCACGAGCGTAATTGAGCACAATGTTACATTAAACGCTGGGCGCTTCTAGTGGTCGGACTTGGCGCCCAGCGCTTAGTCGCCTAGGCGGGCGCTTAAGCTGTTTCTAGGCGTTTTTTTTCTTTCTTCATTTAAGTGGTGGTCGATGAGGTTTTGCTGAAGGTCGGAGGAGGTAGTGGAGGTGTTCATATTTGGAGGTTAATGGAGTTTGGAGGACGTGTAGGCTACGACACATAAAATCACAATCAATGCCTACAGGGTGCAATCCACGTAAGCAGATAATGCTTCCCTAAACGCTCGTAAAATCTAGGTGGGCATCATAAATACCGTCTAGACGCTAGGCGCTAGTTAGGCGGCCTAGGTACCGCCTAGGTCTAGGCGTACGCCTAAACGGACTAGGCGGAGGTTTTTTAAAACAGTGATTGAGCATACTTCATTTTGCGATTTCTCAAGAAGTTCTCTGGTGGGGGCTATTCTTAAGGAGATTTGAGAAGTATTTCGCTACAGTGAGCGGTTATTTGAGAAGAGAATTTGAGCGGTGATTTTGTGATTAAAAATCACATGCGGTACTTTGAGAGATCTCAAGTTTGAGATCTTCTCTTTTACAAGCTTTGTAATTTCTTGTGGTTAAATAAGAAATTATTTGTGCGGCTCCTGTGGACGTAGGTAAGTTTGTCGAACCATGTAAATCTGTTGTCTCGTCTGGTTTACTTATTATTTTATCTGTGTATTCGGTATTGCTTGAGTTGGTTGTTCTCTCTATGGGTGATTTAGCTTCCGCAGTGGTTAAATGGGCGTCCCTTGCTTCCAACAATTGGTATCAGATCATTTATTCATATTAATGGTGGTAGAACTTCTGATTTGAGGTGGTGCTTGATTATTATGTGGAGAACACAAGGTATTTGTTGGAATTCCTGAGAGAAACGGCTTTATTAATTCAAGCAGAAAATGACGTCTACAAGTAAAACAGTTAAAGTGGGAAAATATGAGATCGAAAAGTTCAATGGGAATAATAATTTTTCCTATTGGAGGATGCAGATAAAAAACTCGTTGATTTCGCAGAAATTGCACAAGGCTTTGGCGGGAAGAGAAAATAAGAACAAAGATATGTCAAATGAGGATTGGGAAGAGTTAGATCTCAAAGTACGAGCATCGATTATCCTATGCTTCGAGAGGGACGTTGTTTTCTTGGTGGATGGAGAGGAAACG